TCTCTTTATCTTTTATTCATTCTTCTACCTTAACAATCTCAGGGCCATCCCCATCACTATACTAAAATCACTCTTTTCTGAGGTCATTATTAACCTTCTAGTTACCAAATCAAAGAATATATAGTCTCCCCCAATATACTCACCACACACACCACTGAGAATCTTCTTCTTGAAATTCTCTTCTCTGCTCTTGGAGTCTATGACAGTATCTTCTTTTGAATTTCCTCTAAGGTCCCTGATTGCTCCTTTGACAAGAACCTTCTTGAAAGATTTTCTAGATTACCTTTCTTTCTGTGTTGTCATTTTCTTTTCTTCTATGTTTATTCTCAATTTACAAATTTACAAATAAATCATAGAAATTATACACAAACATCTATATATATATGCAGACACCTTGTTTTAATATATGTGAACAATGTGGAATACACTTCTTTTATGTCTCTGTGGAATCCCCATCGACCCAACTGCTCACCAGAGACCTGAATTAACTCTCCTCATCTTTACTACTCTATATTGCAGAGACCTACTGATTGTATCCTCTTCTCTAATCTATCACATCTTCTCCATTTCCACAATTTTGCCTTGTTTGCTCCTATCATTCTGCATCTGGATGACAACACCCATTTCCCAAACCCTTAGACCATAGTGAATGTTCAACAACTTTGTTGGAGAAATGGTTACAAATTCATGATTCTTCTTCCCACCACTGCCACCCAGAGACTCACCAAACTTGCTCCAGGAATCTTTCTAAAAGTCACAAGTTGTTCATGTCACGTCTCCCCCTACTTCAAATCCTTCCACTGCCTTCAGGATCAGTTTTAAGTTTTAGTCATCTTAGCATGGCACACAATAAACTTCTTGCCCTTCCCTAGCCTCCTGTGCCAACATGTCCCCTGTGAACTGTTCCTGCCTCCACATTAAATGACTCACATTTCCACTAACCTTTAAGGCCCGGTTCACCTCACTTTTTCATTAGGGTACAACTAACATTCAGTAATGTGCAGATGCTAAATACATGAACTCATGGATTTTCACAAGTGTACACACTAGTGTAGCCATCGACTCAATATCTGGAACATTTCTATCATTGCAAGACGTTCCCCGTCCTTACCAGACAATCCCTCCACCTTCATAAGAAGAAAAACACAGTTGCAACTTCTGTCACCATATATTTCTTTGCCTGTGTATCTGGCTTCTTTTTCTCAACACACCTGTGAAATTCATTCATATCGTTGTATGTACCAAGCGTTCATTCCTTTATATTACTGGCTAGCATTCCACCTTTAAATATACAATGTGTTTATGCATTGGTGGGCAATTGAATTAGGGAAATGATAAATATAATTAAAATAAGCATTCTTATACAATAATCTTATAATTGTATTTTTCTTTTGCATAAATACCTAGAAGGGAATTACTAGGGGTAATGTAATAAGAAACTATTATTTTCTAACCATGTGTTCATGTACTTGACAACATTTGTTGTCAATTTTTATTTTTTTAGGCATCTAGTGTATGTTAACTGGTGTTTCATTGTAGATCTCTAAGTTTCATTTTATTTTCAATTAATAATGTTGGCCCCCTCTCCAATGAATTTAGCAGTCATTATATATCCTCTCTTAGGAAATAACCCATTCAAGTTTCTGCCCATTTAAAAAATTGGGATCTCTTCTTATGATGCTTTTGTAGCAGTTCTTTGTGTATTCTACATACAAATTCTTCCCTTTTGTAGGCTCTCTCTTCACCTTCTTGATTGTTTCCTCTGCTGTGTAAAAAGCCTTTTAGTTTAATACCATACCACTTATTGATTCTTGATTTTACTTCTTCACAGGTGAATACCTTTTTCCAATATTTCCAACATTTCTGCTCCAGGAAAATTGTATTATCATCTGTCTTTATGCCTTTTTATTTTGATGTGTTAGATTCTCGACCTGGGAGAAACTGTCTCCCTGTCACTGGGGGTAGGTTGACACTGTAGGACATGGTACTCACTGACATTCTTGCTACTTTCTCTACCACAACCACAGGACCAATCTGAGACTAGGGCTGTATTGTATTTAGTGTTTGTATCTTGTAGAATGTCTACCAAATAGCAGTGCTCAATGGTTGCTGCCCAAATACATAAATGAATTGCTGAAACCTGGAAGGGTTGACTAAATGTCATGGATTAACTGCTTTGTATGTCCTTTTCTCTACCTGAAAATGAGGTTAACTTCCCACTTATACACAATGAAAAGTTTTCTTGCTTGTTTGTTTTTTTGTGTTTGTTTTATACAAGTGATTGAACCCAAGGTGCTTAGGCATTCAGACACATCTCCAGCCCTTTTTATATTATGTTTTAAATTTTGAGACAGGATCTCGCTAGGTTGCTGACAGCCTTGCTAAGTTGCTGAGGCTGGCTTTGGACCTGCAATCCTCCTGCCTCAGCCTCCTGAGTCTCTGGATTACAGGAGCGTGCCACCCCATCTACTGCAAGGAATTTTTGAAACCATGAAAATGGGGTTTTTCTTTTTCTCTTTTAAGTGTTTACAAATAAGAATGCTATGAATATCTATAGTACCCCTCAAAATAGCTTGGTTGATGGAGTTTATGGCTTTATATTGGGCATAATATTTTTTTAACTTTAAAATAGTGAATATGCATTCAATAGAAACTATACTTTGCATTTTGAATTTTTATCTTTTCCTGGGCTAGGGATGATGCAACACTGGAGTAAACAACTGGTACCCTACAATGGACTGTGTGGCTAAGGTAAGATGCTTGGTAGGTTAGATGTGCTAAAAATATTTTTGGTGGGGTGAGCTGGGGATCAAACCCAGGACCTCATGCATACTAGGCAAGTGCTCTACCACTGAAA